GACATGGAAAAAAAATTAGGTTAAAAAATTGCATGCTTACCTTAATTAGGCGAAGTGAAAAATATTAGCTGATATAAGATGATGCAGAGAATAATTATGGAAATGAAGTCGTTTACTTTCTTTAGATATATATAGGGTTCAAAACTTATATAGGTTTAGATCGTCTGATGTAATAGTGAAGTTAGTAAGACAAAACCCAGCTGAACACGATACCAAAGTGGTATATTTATTATATACGGTATATAACCAAGATTTAAAGTTTATGGGTTTAGAATTTTACTATTTTTAAATTATTAAATTCTAAATTAATATTGTATTTATATTCAACAGAATTTTAAGACAAATACAATAAAAGACAGTTCGGTGCATTAAGCTCACGCTATGCACGGGGTCCAGGGAAGGGCCGGACCGCAAGAGTACTCTATTGTACGCAATTTTACCCTACATTTCTGCAAGAGGTTGTTCCCACGACTCGAACATGTGATCTCCTGGTCACACAATTATGTCAAGATTAAAGACCAATACAATATTTAAACTAAAGTTATATATTGAGTTTGTCGAGCCCGTAACCAATACATAGCTCCATCCTTGATAGTAAAATGAATAATATAATTTCATGAAGAATAGAAGGTTGACTTTTAGTTGTATTAGGTATTTAGGTAGTTACTGTTGACCAATGAGCTTTTTTAATTGGGCAAAAGCGCAGACACATAATAAGGTTTAAATTTCTTTCTATACACGGCAGTTGCTAGAAAATTTTATAAATATAGCCAAGAAAAAACAGAATTCTTGTACCCTGTGCATTCCATGATATCCTTTTTCACTTTTGGATATATAATTTTCACTACTTCAAGTACTCAAGTTAATTGAACTATTTACACTTTTGAATTTTGATGTAATATTTTCTATATAAAAGTAAATTTTCAAGAGAAAATGACACTGTATAGTCGCTCTCAAAATAATAATAAAAAGTAAATATATTTTTATACTTTTTTATATATATACATTTCTGTATGTTATATACAAAAAATACAAATTTTATACACTTTTCCGGCTTCCGGATATAAATAGTTCGGGCTAAAAGTGACCTTTACGCAAATTTCAATCACTCATCACTTTAATATTTATCTCCTCTATTAATTAAAATTCACATCCTTTCAAATGCTATTATATAAAATAAAATTGCTAGAGTATTTTCTTGTCTTCCCATTTTTTCAAGGCTATCAACAATGGTTCAATATTAATTAATCTCTTTTTAGAATAAATTTTTGTATTTATTTCATGGGAACTTTGGGTTTTTTCCCTTTTTATTTATTTATTAAAATATCCAATTATCAATTGGAGGGCCTGAGGGCAGTTGCACAATTTGGTCAAGTGAAGTCGTTAGTGGGTTTGTCAAAGTCTGTTTTGGTGGTTGGCCCAAACTTTAATTTGGTAAACATTCTAGTCATTAAGATGAGATACTTTACCCTACCTACAAATTCTACAAATATACATTTATGGCAAGGAATTTGGAGAACTAACTTGTTTGAATTCAATTTTAATACTTGTACTTTAAACAATTTATTATAGGGAAGCCAACAATATTGTACATCATCTAATTTATTAATTTATCTTGTTTAGTTATCTCAAATAGTGCTAATGACAACATCTTTTCAAATTAATTTGGTCCCAAGTGGCACATATATGGACTCGTTAGGCACCATGTGCGCAAATAATTTTCTTTTCCTATAGGTATCATTCTGATTTGGCATTAATTTTTGGATCTTTACATAAATAGTCAACCAAACTTACTGTTTACTTTTTCTAAATTATACTAATTATACCTATACCATACAAAGATTATACATTCGTCACTATTTTTAGTTTAAGCAGTGGTGTGAGCGACTATTTGAATTTATTATTCTTAATTAACTTTTTTTCAATTGTGTGTTTGGATGAGTTTTATGATCCTCATTTTTCGGTAATTTATGGCCATTAAACAAGAATTCAGGACGATTTTAAATTTTTCGTGTGCTAATGTCCATGACATTTTCATGAATTCGGGCGATGGGCTCCAGATCGCCTATAATTTTATGGGCCCATCATAAATGACCTAATGAACAATAGTTATCGCTTCGCCATAGTTGTTCCTCATTTTTTGCCATTTAGGGCCAGAAAACAGGAATTCAGGACCATTTTCAATTTTTCATATGCTAGTGTTCACGCCATCTTCGTGAATTCGGGAGAAAGGGCTCCGAATCACCTAAAATTTTGTGGACACATCAGAAATGACGTAATGAATAATAGTCATTACTTCGACATGACTATTCCTTGTTATTTGGTATTTTATGGCTAAAAAACAGGAATTCATGACGATTTCTTATTTTTCATGTGCTAATATTCATGCCATCTTCATGAATTCGAGCAACGAGCTCCGAATCGTCTAAAATTTTGTGGCCCATCAGAAACGACCTAATGAAAAATTGTATGAGCGTTCCTTATTTTTTGGCATTTTAGGGTCATAAACTAGGAATTCAAGTTGATTTTTAATTTGTGTGTTAATGTCCACGCCATCTACATGAATTCTGCGACGGGCTCTGAATCGCATAAAATATTGAGGGCCCATCAGAAACAACCTAATGAACAATGCTCATTTCTTCGTCGTGACCAATCCTCGACTTTTGGCTATAAAAATGGAATTCAGGATGATTTTCAATTTTTCGTGTGTTACTGTTCACGCCCAGGGGGGCGCACGTTAGTCGAAGCGGTATCATCCGATACCGATTTGTTAGAAATTTTTACTAAATACACATATAAACAGTGTTCCAGAGAACGGACATATCAATAAAATGACACCGTTTTACAAACAAACTTACTTGATCTGATGGGCAACACATCCATTTTCAACAGAAGGGTCGGGGATCAAAACCCACTCCTTAACTTTTTTGCACATTTTAAAGCATTTTTAGTTTAAAAATCAGATACTGCAGTACACTAAATTCGTTACACATTAATCAAAGTGATAAAATTAATAAATAAAACATGCAATAGTTGTAGTATAACATAAACGGCTTTAGAACTATAATTTTGATGAAAATAAACTTACCCCTCTTTCTCTATTATTTACAATTTCTGAGTAGGCGAATTTGCTGGTGTTACTCTTCTTAACATTTTATTTTTCATGTCATTACAATATTTATTCTTTAAATTATGATATCACTTACAAAAAATTATGCGTATGCCCCTGTCCACGCCATCTTAATGAATTCAAGCGACGGACTTCGAATCGCTTAAAATTTTGTGGGCCCATTAGAATTGCCTAATAAAAAACCGCCACTGCATCGCCACTACTGTTCCTCGTTTTTGGCGTTTTAGGACCAAAAAACGGGAATTTAGGATGATTTCTATTTTTTCCTGTGCAAATGTCCACGCCATCTTCCAGAATTCAGCTGATGGGCTCCGAATTGCCTAAATTTTTTTGGGCCCATCAGAAAAAACCTAATGAACAATAGTCATTTCTTCGACACGACTGTTCTTCATTTTTTGGCATTTTTGGGGTCATAAAAAAGAAATTTCGGACGATTTTTAATTATTCGTGTGCTAGTGTCCACGCCATCTTCATGAATTCAGGCGACGGGCTTTGAATCCCTAAAATTTTATGGGCCCATAAAAAATGATCTAATGAATAATAATCATCATTTGTCATGACTAATCCTCATTTTTTTGCATTTTATGGCCATACAACAAGAATTCAGGATAAAAATTGATTTTTTGTCTGCTAATATCTATGCCACTATTAATGAATTCGGGTAACGGGCGACGGGCTCCGAATCGCCTAAAAATTTTTGGACCAATAAAAAATGCCCTAATGGACAATTGTCATGTCTTCGCCATGGCAGCCCTCATTTGTGGCATCTTAGGACCATAAAACAAGAATTCAGGACAATTATTAATTTTTCATGTGCTAATGTCCACGCCATCTTAATGAATTCGGGCGACGGGCTCCGAATCGCCTAAAATTTTGTGGACCCATCAGAAATGACCTAATGAACAATAGTCATTGTTTTTCCATAATCGTTCCTCGTTTTTCGGCGTTGGAGGAATTCAGGACGATTTTCAATTTTTCGTGAGCTAATGTCCACAAAATCTTTATGAATTCGAACAACGTGCTCTGGATCGCCTAAATTTTGGTGGGCCCACAAGAAACGACCTAATTAACAATAGTATTGCTTCGCCATGACCGTTCCTCATTTTTGGCCTTTTAGGGCCATAAAACAGGAGTTCAGGATGACTTCTAATTTTTCGTGTACTAATGTTCACGCCCTCTTTATGAATTCGACCGACGAGCTCCTAATCGCTTAAAATTATGTGGGCCCATCAGAAATTACCTAATGTAAAATAGTCATTATATTTCATGACTATTCCTCATACTTTTAGCGGTTTAGAGCCATAAAATAAGAATTCAGGATGATTTTTAAATTTTTGTGTGCCAATAATATCCATGCCGTCTTCATGAATTCGGGCAACGAGTTATGAACCCTCTAAAATTGATTGGCCCATCAGAAATGACCTAATAAATAATAGTCATTGCTTCACCATGAATGTTCCTCATTTTTGGCGTTTTAGAGTCACAAAATTGGAATTCAGGACGATTTTCAATTTTTTTGCGCCGATGTCCGCGCCATCTTAATGAATTTCGAGCGATTGGCTGTGAATCGCCTAAAATTTTGTGGGCCAATCAGATACGACATATAAACAATAGTCATTGTATCACCATGATCATTTCTCATTTATTTGGTGTTTTATGATCATAAAATGGGAATTCAAGTCGATTTTCAAATTTTCGTATACTAATGTCCACGCACTACAAAAAAAGGGGTCAAATGGCGGCAGTTAATTAGCGGCGGTCACCGATAACTCCCGCAAATTGTGTCAAGTTGTGGGACTTTATCTCTAGCCGACGCAATTAATTATAATTTGGGGGATTTGGTACATTAAATTCAAAAGAGCGCCAAGCTTCTAATTTTTCCCTCATTTTCTTCTCCGCCAAAACCTTTTAGACCTAATTAACCAAAACCTTTAGACTCATTTTGCCATCTCTCTCACGCTCTCTCTCTCTAGTCTCCAAGCGGCGGCCTCTCTCTCACCAAATTGGAGTAACGTTGCTAGAAAATCCACGGTGTTCTTCTTCAGTTTATTTGCAATTGGTCTTTCATCTTCTCCAATTCTGATTTTGTGTAACCAGGTATTTTTGAATTTTGTAAATTGCATGTGGGTTTTCACTTTATTTTTGTGTCATTTTGGTTATTCTCTGTTGGATTTGAGGTTTCTCTATTTATTTGGAGTTTTTTGGTTGATTTGGGGTTTCTATGTTGATTTATGCAATTTATTAGCTTGATTTCTCAATAAACCTAGAATTTTTTGTCATGCAATCTGCTTTATTGCCTCAGTATCCTAATGTATTTTTGTTTTCTGTTTCTTCTTTCATGTTCTGTAATGTAAAAAAATTCACTAAAAAATTGATTAGTCGCTGTGTTTTTCAGTTTGGTAAGCTTTTTTTCCATATTTCTTTAATTACTGCACTGGTATGCCTAATTTTTAACCTTCTTTTTACTTGATTCTTACATGCATGTTTATGGCAGATACCTAGGCACATGTATGTATAATTTTGGTTTTGCAATGATGCTCTGTTTTTATTTTGAGGAACCACATTTTGTCAACGCATAAGATATCTCTTTTGTCACTCTCTTTCTCATCTGGATAGTATCATAACAATTTAATTTAATTACTGACCAGTCCTTGTAAGTATAAATAATGACCAAGGATCATGTAGTCTATCTTTGGATGAGATATCTAATCTATTAAAGCGTGGGTCGTTGCTGTTGTGCAGATTTTAACTGACAAAAATAACAACAAGACATTGGTTTGTTTACTCGTTGATGACATCTATCCATGTTTCCAAGAACTCCCTGAAAAGTTTATCTTAACTTTTCTGAAAACTATTTGGTGTTAAAATCAACTTCATTTGCTTATTCAATGCAGTACATGATTTTTTGATTTTCTCCCCCAATTATTTGCTATAGACAAGTAATGAATGGTGTAACGTATCCTAGAAAATGGTAGTGAATATGATAAGGTTGGCATTTTTAATGTTTCCATGTCTTTGTTTTGCTCCATCTTACAGTCTTACCATATATAGCTTTTATTTAATTTCCTTTAGAGGACAGTACAATGAAGTAGATTTTTATAGTAAGACTTGACAGTACAATGAAGTAGATTTTATAATTGTATCTTAGTGCTGCTGCTGATCACCCGATCTTTCATAAACATACTAAGTGTTCCATCATATCATAATAATGGTGGGGATCTGCATGTGCAATGTGTTTTAATGCCACTGAAGTTGTCCTCTGCATATGTACTTAAACTTATGTGCCATCATGTTGCGCTGCTTCTCAACCAGATGTTATAAGGAGAGTAATAAGTTGGTAAATATGGTTATCTTTTATGGCTTCTTAATATTACTTTAATGCATTTAAATGCTTGCTGTAATGTAGTCAATTAAGGAAAAATTAAGTAGCTTATTGTAGCATTCTCGGTTGGTCTTATCATGCTAGATAATTAGTAGAACATTAACTTTACTTTTTGTTGTCTTATAAAGTGTTAAAATATGTCTCTAATCCTATAGCTTGAAAATCTTGTAGGTGATATTGTTTCACACTAATTTATTTTTTCAATGGATAAGTCTTGGATTAGAATGTCGAGGAACACACCAGAATATTTGCTTGGTTTGAAATTTATAGAATTTGCATTTAAGATTGGAGCTATAAGAGATAGAATAAAATGTCCATGCCTTAAATGTGGTTCAGAAAGTGGCAATGAGGTTTTGTTTCATCTATGATAGTTCAATGTTTATATCATATATATAACAGAATTTTATTTATGTTTGTAGTTTCTTTTCTGTTATGCAATCTTAAATAACATACTTTGTTGTTATAACTTGTATGAATATCTTTAAAGTATGCAAGTAAGTGAGTCTTGATATATCATTAGGCAATTCTGTTATTGTAAGCTGGTTTGACATGAATCTATATCATATTAAGAGTTTTGTTTGTATCACTTAATCTAAATGGAAGATTCAATTAGTTTATATAAGCATTTATTTAATTTGCTTATCTTTTATTAATTACAGATATGCCGAAGACCAAGCGTTGGCAGAACTTGCAAAAGTCAATTCAAGGGAATGCACAACCAGCCCCGTCAGTTCAAGCAACAACAAAGCCGGCTTCGTCGATTTCATCACAGTTCGTCAGTTTAGGCAACAACAAAGCTGACTTCGTCGGTTCAGGCCACATCATAGTTTGGTTCGTCAGTTCAGGCCACATCACAATTGGCACGTTGGTTCAAGTTGCATCACAACCGACTTCGCCTTTTCAGTCCGCGTCACAGCCGACTTTGTCCTTTCAGACCGCATCACAATCGACTTCGTCCTTTCAAGCTGTATCACAGCCGACTTCATCCTTTTAGGCCGTATCACAGCCGACTTCATCCGTTCAGGTCGCATCACACCCTGCACTATCCAGAATGCTTGTCTTGGTGTGCATTTAGTTACTTATTAATGTTGTGACAAACAATATTTAGGAAAAAACACGGTGGATGAGTCTGAAGTTTCGCCGAATGATGCTGTTGGTAAAGTGCTAGGAAAAGAGCACTCTTGGAAGGGTAAGGTGCTTAGGATTAGGAGCTGTCCCCAGCAAAGTTTTTAAACATGCAAGACCTCGTTTTGGTGGTATGAATGCTTCAAGTAGTGATGCTTCATGTTTGAACCATTGCCAAGAGAACTACAATAAATTGTTGAATGCTCACAACCAAAGCCAAGAGAACTACAAACAAATGATGAATGCTTTCAAGGCATATATGATAATGAAAGAAGGGAAAATACCAGAGCAATTTGTGGGATTCTTTGCTTCTCCTCCTACAATGGTAAATAAACTTGTGATTTTTTTTTTTCAACTGATATTATCTGCATCAGTAGCTACTCATATAAAAAAAAACTAAAAATCTTCTTTCTCCGCTCTTCTTTAGTGGTACTTTATTCCTGTTGACACTTTCTTATTTCTGGGATTATAGTTGTGTATGTGTACTGCTGAATTCCTAGTATCATGTGTTTTAAAATTTTGACTACAAAATAAAGGATGGAATTGGTTCTGATTTTTATTCAATAAATAGCTCAAGTTATAATTTGCATTCAAAAGATCTTATTGTTTTATTTTGTTTGCAGCCAAGAGATGCACCTAGTGGATCCCTATCACCCATGGACGCAAGAAGATCATCTGATGGCAGTAATCAAAATGACAACAGATGGCAGTAATCCAAGTGACAACAATTGAAGTTCTTTATAATTGAATTAGATAATTAATTGTGACAATGTAATTATGTGATTGGAGCGGATGTTAGAATCGCTAGGGTGAATGTTTTATGTTAAAATTTAGTTTGAAAACTACAGTGGAAGTTCGTTTTGAGCAACTAAATATAGAGGCAGATTGCTATATCGGAGACAGAGCTCTTCCGACGCTACTGAATGCAGCTAGCAACATTGCTGAATCTGCTTTGAGTTGTTTAGGGATTAGGAGATTTGCCATTGGAGCATTTTCGTGGCCCCACCATTTATATATGAAAGTAATACTTTTGTGATGCTAAATATGTTGATATTTCTAAGTGGTGATATATATATCTTTTTTGGGTTAGATTATGGTGTGTACGGGTTCATTAGTAGATAATATTCTAAGTCCAATATTTGTAAAAAATACAGTAAAAAAAATTAATACGTTGAATGAATTGCGTGGGTTTTGACTGCCGGAACTTGTAAAAAATATAAATTTTTTAATAATTTAATAATCAATTTACGGGGGTTGAACTGCTGCTAATTAACTACGGCAGTCGCGACAGCGGTCGCGGCAGAACTACTTTTGTGAACCGCTGCAACAACAAATTGCGGGAGTTATCGACCGCTGCAATTTGTAAAAATAACTGCCGCAATTGGCTATTTTTTTGTAGTGACGCCATCATTGCACAGATAGCCACTAACAGCTTATGTCTTTATTTTAAAGCCAGCGTTTTAAATGTCTTTAGTCTTTAGCCACTGGTTTAATAAACTTTAACTGCTCGGACAAAAATACCCTTCTGCTCATGTCCTTAACTTCAGGACTTCAGGACTACATGTCCTTAACTTTTGAACTTGAAACTCTAAGTTCAGGACTTCAGGACTACATGTCCTTAAGTTTTGAACTTGGAACTCAAACTTCGTCCTTAACTTTTGAACTTGTAAGTCAAAGTTAAGGACCTATTGTCCTTAACTTTTGAACTTGTAACTGTAAGTTAAGTACTGCTTGTCCTTAACTTTTGAACGTGCAACTGGAGGTTAAGGACTGTCTGTCCTTAACTTTTGAACTTGTAAGTCAAAGTTAAGGACTATAAGTCCTTAACTTTTGAATGTGTAACTGTAAGTTAAGGACTGTCTGTCCTTAACTTTTGAACTTGGAAATCAAAGTTTAAGACGTACTGTCCTTAACTTTTGAACGTGTAACTGTAAGTTAAGAACTGCCTGTCCTTAACTTTTGAACTTGTAACTATAAGTTAAGGATTGCCTGTCCTTAACTTTAGAACTTGTAACTGTAAGTTAATGACTACCTGTCCTTAACTTTTGAACTTGTGTCCTTAACTATTGAACTTAACTTTAGGACTTCAAGACTACATTTTTTTGGTTTATATGCTTAGTAGTTGAATCAGAGGTTGATGATGTGGGTAAAAGTACAAATTGCATTTGATTATCTTTTTCTTTTCGTTATATTTGGTGATATCTGCTTCATCTGTTTGCTTCCTCTAAGATTATTAGCTAAGCCTTTGGGTCAACGCGTTGGTAATTCAGAGGACTGGGATTCAATTTGCCTGAAGTTTTCCTCATCCTGGTTATCACGTAATTCTCTTTGCTTCTTCTCTTCATCCCTTGACTGTGTTTTATGTCTATGATCTCCTACAAGTAGCCGGATTTTTGGTAGGGTGTGTGTGGCAGAGACAGCGCGAGAGAGAAGGAAAAGGGTAACTTTGTCTTTTCATATTAATTTTAATAGACTAGTGGCTAGTTTTGCTCAGCATTAAAAATGGTGGATAAAAAGTAAATACCACTTTAAATAGTGGCTACCCCATGCCATTTCTACTCTAAATCACATAAAATTTTGTGGGCCCATCAGTAATGACCTAATTAACAATAATCATTACTTTGCCATGAACTTTCCTGTCACGACCCAAAATCCACTAGTCGCTAGGTAAGTCAACTACTAACTATTCAATTTCAATAATATTAATTAAACAATTAACCAAAGTGATTTTCTGAATCTTTTACACTTCCCAAGGACTGGTAGTACAAATCATGAGCTTCTAAGAATAGTCTTCATAGGGCAATTGTCACTGCTTATGGACCCGAACCTGGGTGATCTATCCATGACCAGGATGAATCCAGCCGGACTTCCTGCCCATCGAGTACTTAGAATTTACAAAGCTGATATGAAATAAATATATCATCTGTTTGAAAAATACATAAACAGAGTTTTATAATTCTAAGGCTACCATGAACAAGAGGCAGCTATAATAGGGACGCAGGTTCATCTTCCAATTCAGCTCCCATCGAACACAGCAACATCGTCATCTGAAATCTGCACGTAATGTGCAGAAAGTCTAGTATGAGTACAACCGACCTCATGTACTCAAAAAGTAACAAACCTAACCTCAGGTTGAAATTAGTGACGAGACGAGGTGGAACATAGGTCGGGTCCAACACCAATAACTAACAACAGTTTATAACAGCGTAAAGCATATAAACAAGGAAATAACTCAGAGATAAAAAATGTTCAACTTTTTGCATAGTTTTTCCGAAAATAGTTCCGCCTTTCAAGAATATCAGTAAAAACTCAAATCCTTTATCGAAACCATCGAATTTTTTTTGAGATAGTTTAAAAACTATAATTTTCCTGAAAAATCCTTTCCACAATAAATAAAAAATGTTTCATTTCCCTTCCAAATAACAAGTGTGAAATAAAAGTCATGAATGATGTGATGCCGTACAACACGAGGAAAAATGCATCTCTATGCTTGTATGCCATGTGTGCATGACAATGGCATGTATCTCAGAGATGAATCATGTACTCACACTCTCAGAGTACTCAATCTAACTGCCTCGCATCCTCTCTCACTATGCTAAATGCTCAGCACACTCAAACACTCAACGCTGTACAATAACCACTGCGGCGTGCAGCCCGATCCACATATATATAGTCGACTGCGCTCACTGGGGGTGTGCAGACTCCGGAGGGGCTCCTTCAGCCCAAACGTCATATCGCTGCAGCGTGTAGCCCGATCCAATCTCGTTGCGGCATGCAACCCGATCCATAATATATATATATATAAGTAGCCCTAAGGCTTGTTGCGGCGTGCAACCGGATCCATTTGCATAAATATAATCAATATATCGCTATGACGTGCAGCCGGTCCCAAAAGTAGAATAGATATAATATGCTGCGGCGTGCAGCCCGATCCCAAAGTGTCACTCTCGCTCAGGCCCTCGGCCTCACTCAGTCATCAATCTCTCCAGTCTCACTCACGGGCTCACAATGTCATGAATCTAGCCCGACAACAATGATATGATGTATCAATATCAACAACAGAGACTGAGATATGATATAAATGCATGAATATGACTGAGTACGAAATATTAATGAAATCAATGAGATGACAACAAGAAACGACCACTAGGGGTCCCAACAATATCAGTATAAACCTAAACGTGATATCTAGCATGGTGTACATCTCAATTGCTTTATCACATGGTGAAAAACACAATTACCAACAAAGTGGGCCACTGAACGGTTCCCTGGAAACAACAGAGTCACAATTCACAGGGTGCACACCCACACGCCCGTCACCTAGCATGAGCGTCACCTCAACATCAATCATATAGCACGTAATTCGGGGTTTTATACCCTCAACACTAAATTTAGAAAAGTTACTTATCTTAAACAAGCCAATTCCGACACCGAGCAAGCCAATCGATGCTCTAAGAATACCATCACGCACGTAGCGACCTCCGAACAACTCAAAACTAGCCAATAGCAATTCAAATACACCAGATAAAGCCCAAGGAAGCAATTACAATTGATAAAGATCGAGTTCTTCATCAAATCCCAAATCCGGCCAAAAATCACACCCGGGCCCACGCCTCGAAACTCGATAAAACTCACAAAATCCGACAACCCATTCAGTTATGAGTCTAACCTTACTAGTTTCACTCAAATCTGACTCCAAATCTGTGTTCAAAACTCAAAAATTCATATTATGAAACTTTAGGCCAATCCCCAAAAGTTAGAAAGCTGGTAAGACTGCAATCTATGCCTTATCCCTTTCTTCATTAAGATGGAGTTGGTGTTCAGTGTACCCAAATTTCTCTCTCAATTCATCAACCAATTGCCAAAAATGAAGATGGATTCATGAAATATAATCAAAACTGAGTAGAGAACACTTACCCCAATCCTTGTGGTGATATTTGCTTCAAACATCGCCTCAATCCGAGCTTGGAAATGTTAAAATGAAGCCAAAATCGCGAACCCTTATATTTATCATTCTGCCTAGCACTTCCGCTTCTGCGGACACTTAACCGCATCTGCGATGTCGCTGAAGCGACCAAAATTCCGCTTCTGCGGTAAAATACAAAAGTTGGGCCTCCGCTTCTGCGGTCCATACCCCGCATCTGCGCAACTGCAGGTGCGGAACAACCTATCGCACCTGCGCAAACATCCGCTCCTGCGCCTAACACCCCGCTTCTGCGACCACGCAGCGGGAGAATCTTCGCACCTGCGACTACAGTTCACCAGCCCAAACTTCGCTTCTGCGCACCCCTGCTCGCACCTGCGATCAAAGCTCCGCAGGTGCGATTGCACCAGCAGAGTTCACCTTCAGCAATCACTCAACTCCATCTTTCGATCCAATAACTGTCCGGAATCAACCCGAGCCCCTCTGGACCCCGTCCAAACATACCGACAGGTCCCATTACATAACACGGACCTACTCGAGGCCTCAAAACACACATAACAACATCGAAACAATGAATCACACCTCAATTCGAAATCATTGAACTTTGAAATTTCAAATTTCACAACCGATGCCGAAGCCTATCAAATCACGTTCGCCCTCAAATTTTGTACACAAGTCACATTTGACATTACAAACCTGCTCCAACTTTCGGAATCGAAATCCGACCCCGATATCAAAAAGTTCACTCACGGTCAAACTTTTCAAAATTTCAACTTTCGCCATTTCAAGCCAAATTCTACAACGGACCTCCAAATCACGATCTGGGCGCGCTCCTAAGTCCAAAATCACCCAACGGAGCTAAATGAACCATCAAAAACCCAATCCGAGGTCAAATACCAAAAAATCAAAATTGGTCAAACCTTTCAAATTTAAAGCTTCTAGCTGAGAATCATTCCTTCAAATCAATTCTGAATAACCTGAAAACCAAAACCGACGATTCACATAAGTCATAATACAATCATACAGAGCTACTCATGCCCTCAAACAACCGAGCGCAGTGTAATTGCTCAAAACGACCGGTCGAATTGTTACATTTC